CCTTCAAGATGTTATGGTAGGTGTTCTGATGAGCTCTTTGTCTGGGCAGCCAGGAGTCTGTGATATCTGGCTAGAAATACAGTCATGCATCCTAAACCTCCAGCTCCCAAATGCCAGATTTCACTTGGAATACAGATTTTCCCTCTGTTTTAAAATGGACAGTTTGGAGCTACATCTGCTTCCTCTCGCTGGATGTCAATGTGCTCATACCATTCAATCAAAAGCAAGTGGTTTCTGGAGCTACAAGTTGCTAAACCAATGTTCTTCTCTGTCTGAGCCAATTTTGCAGCTATAAACACTTCTTTAAAACACTGCATCTGTGCTTTTGGCTAGGTAATCAGGTACTTTTTTTCTCACCATATCTTAGAATATCATGGCAGCTCAAAATGTGTATTATCTTTAAAAATACAAAAAAAGTATATGCTTATTACTTTTGGGAGCCGAGCTGGATGTCTGGGATGCAGGCCACACCACTGCAAATCTTCATTTTTCGTTGCGTGTTTTTGTAGTACAACATAACATTCAGCTCAGCATTCTGGGTTACACTCTGTACCGGCAAGGAATTTATTCTTTTGGAAAACATCTCACAGTCTAACGCAGCATCCGTAATCAGACAAAACACAAACAGATGCTATATAGATTATCCTTAGGAACTGTATCATCACTCGTAAGTTTTGTTTTTTAACTCCCGCTGTTCTTCTTAACCAGTTGAGGTCTCGTTACACAGATGAACGTAATTTTCAACAAAAGCTTTTAGTGCCTTTCCTTTGGAGTGGAACGTATTGTCACAGAAGAAAAGCAGAAGGTTAGAGAGCTCCTGTGTAAGTACCTGCTTCAGATGTTCGTTTGCCACAGGAAAAGGTGGAGTTTTGGGAGAAAAGACAGGGATTACATTTTGGGGTTTCTTGAATAATACATGTTTCAATTTGTTTTACAAAGCCTCATTTACTTGATAAAGTGAAAAGGTCTTTCCTGCCAACCCAGGCAAAACTGTCGTACAGAAGTAAGACACTTTGCAAAATCTTCAATACAGGATTCGCTGTTGGCTGAAATGAGGATTAGCTTTGGAATCAGGAATGTTATAGGTGAAGCTTCCTTCCATAGAAACTTTTAATGCATAGATCCAAAGCTTAGTTTTACAAATGCTGTGATCTACTTGTGTATTAAGCAACACGTGCACACAGGATTCTGCAAAAGGGCTATCTGTAAAAGAGTGAGAAAATAAAAAAGAGTCAATTACAAAGAGTAAGAGAGTTAAACAGAAAAAGATAGTTGGTAAGCAATGTCTGTTGTACATTTTTTATTTCATGGAATTATCTGTGATTGATGTCAAATTCAGTGGAGAATGAAGCCAACAGTTAGCCTGATGTAAAGGAATTTAGAACTATCTTTAGCCTGTAGTGAAAAGTGATGATGATGTTGGTGATGACGACGAAGAACTATGAGTGCTGCAATTCACTGTAAAGCTAAATTGTAAATGTCATCCGTTCGCACTCTTAAACAGTTTACTGAATAGCCAGACACTTTTATCCGTAAAGGTGCCATTGGTGAAACCTTTCGCTGTCAGACTCTCACCAGTACAGTACGTTCAAATGTAAACTGTGAAGCATGAGAAACAGACAAACAGAAGTCTAACCCACCTGTGTAAATGGTGTTAATACTCCAACACACTTTCACTAGTGCTGAAGTGGAGTCTGCTGCTTTTATCTTCTACAACATACCAGCTGCCAGTGATGATATTTTAATAGTGGCAATAAATTCCTCACATTTATACAGTGTTTTTCATCTAGAAGGATCCCAAAGAGCTTCACATATTCCAACCATCCCTGAAGTCCAGCCTCAGGTAGAGTAGTAGGGAAGCCAGATCATTCAAGAGAGCAATGTAGTCAGGACACTGGTGTTGATACCCCTCCTTGTGCAAACACTGCCATGGGATCTTCACTAAACAAGTCATCAGGATTGAATGTCTCATCTAAAAAACGGCATCTCCTACGGTACAGCGTTGTCAGCACCACAGTAGGACATTGGTGTGGAAACTCTGGAAGAGTGACCTCTGACCTCTGCAGGTCTCCAGCACCACTCACAGCAGCAGCATGATTTTCCCTTGAAGAAGGCAGTACTGCTTAGCTTCTGAGATCTGAGCAGATCGGTCTACTACATCTTTGCTGTCAAAAACTACAATGAAGAAACCAGAAGCATGTATTTATTCCTTTTTCAAATTAAATCTGTATTTATATGTATATGTTTCTTTGGAAACTGAATCAAATGTAGATTTTGCTTTTTGCTGCAGACATTTCTTGTTTCTTTTTAATGGCATTTATCTTCATGTTTTGCCTTGAACCCTGCTGTTGGATTTAAATAAAGGGGAATATTCAACACTTTCTAATAAAGAGGAGTAGCGCCAAACTTATCTCGTGTTCTTCGTATCTCCTTTGCAAGCAGTGGATATCTGTGAGCCCAACGGAGAGGATCTTCAGTGTTAATGTGAACACAGAGCTCTCATTGTCATCCACTGGGGCCTGGTAGACGTTTTTTCTGGCTTTCAACTTTGTTTTCAACTTTTGCGGTGCAGAAAAGAATTTTAACAGGTCTAGGGAGGACCAGTCGACAACAGGAGCCTGGGTTGTATGATTTTAAAAGGACATGAAGAAAAATATGAAAGTAGCAGGAGGTTATGGACTTGTGATTAAAAGAGCTAGAGCTAAAGAAACAATTTTTTAAGTAGGTCAGAAATATATGTATGAGAGCGTTTTTTTTTATTCATGAAATTGCAGTCGAGGGGGAAGTGTCTCATTTAGCATGCTCATCTGTGGAAAGAGTACCTTGTACATGACTTTTTCGAGCGTGTCATTCCAGTACAGTTTTAGTCACACATGGTTTACATGTGTGACACAGCTGGCCAGTGGTGAAAAGCACAGAACGCAAATTTGAAATGCACAAAAATAGACCCCTTATACAGAGCGCTAGTAGCGTTTAGGCTTTCAATCCTGTATTACAGTTTTTGTAAGAAGCTGGGTCTAAGTGTCTGGCGGGGCTGTCCTGGACTTGCAAAGGTTTAGCAGAAGCCTGGATGTGGTCATGATGTCTAAGATATATTACAACTTGGTCTACCAAGGTATCCTGTTAAAAAAACACATTTGTCTTCTTTTCATTCCAATTAATCAAATCATCTTCAGTAATTGTCTAAGTATCTCCTGGTTTTGTAACTGCTATTTTGAACCCATTTGCTAAAGAACACTAAAACATAGTGATTCCCCCTGCTGTTTGCTTGCAGCAGTCCTGGGATATGGCAGGGATATGAGATTTGCAACAAGCTGTTCGTTTTAATCCCAAACGGAAATCATTAGTGAAATCTGTCTGATTCCCCAAGTCACGCACAGATCCTGTAGAGAATTACGGTATTTGTGTGCGCTTACATGCCTCCTTCTAAAATATATATTTATACAAATATGCAGTAGATTAATTGTATTTGAAGTGGATTTTTCTTTCCAACTAAGACACTCGATTGCGTTTTTTTTCATTAATGGAAGTCTGAATCGATCCAGTGCTCTGCAGCTGGAGCTGTGAGTCACATCAGAGTTGGTCACACGACTGTTCTGTCTGGACTCTTCTTGCTCACTCAGTCCCATAGGAAGGAACGGAGGATCGCAGTCCTGCTCACACTCAAGGCTTCTCTCAGACGGCCCTGTGATCTTGTGCAGACGTACAGTACACCCATACTTTTTCCTTTGCGTCTGCTGTTTTCTGCTCATGTTTATTTCTAATTTCCTATGAATCCTAACAGTCACCTTCAGCACATGTGGGCGTTTCATTTTTACTTTCATTTAAAGACAAAAATAAAGTGTTTTCTGTTGACAAGATTATTTGTGTCAGCTCTGTGAAGTCCCCATTAAAGCTCGTGTTGTTTACGATGGTATTTAATCTAGCATTAACCCTTTGGTTACTAGGCACTTTTTCAGCTTTGTTTTTAAAAACATACAGTAAGTAGGCATAACAGCTAACAAGACGGTCAAACACTTAAATTGCATAAACCTCTCTCACACTGAAGTTTGACTTCTTTATCAGAGCTGCCCTGTGGGACTACACTGGAGAATGCTTCAATGGCAGAGTTCACACCTCCAGCAGGTGCCTCAGGGTAATAATGTATTCCTTTAAGCTGGTTTCAAGGCCTCTGTGCTACAGATAGCTTCAGCTGGCATCACAGAAGCCAGACAGTGGATTGGTCTGGTCCCCCGTCACCTGTAGTGTCCACAGAGCCACAAGCAGTGGTGGTATAAAGGCTCTTTAAATGAACTCTGTTAAAAGTGGAAAGCCTATCTTTAGCAGCAGTCAGTTTCATATTTTATTTCACCAAAACCACATCCCTTTGAGGCTTGGGGGGGGAGGTGAGGCGCTTGCTTACTCCCAAAAAATCAGTGCATCAGGAAGTAGTAATAAACTGTGCAAAAAAGGATTGCTCTCCGCTGTGCCAGCAGCTCCGGGCCGGGCTCTTCAAGCCTTTGCACACTGGCTGGCCAGCTCAGCACAGATCCCGTGCGATAACCGTCAGTGTTGGTCTGCCAGGGCCGAGCTGGAGGAAGTGAGTCCGGCGCTCTGAGCAGGATGGCAGCTGAGCCGGTGCCGCGGCCCGTGCCCCGTGTCTGCGCAGGGGTGGGGGTGGGTGCGGACGGGCGTCCGGCTGGGACAGACCTCGCTTAGGAAGGGTGAGGGCCCACGGAATCGGGTAGGGCTCCCCAGTATCAGGAAAGTGTAGCTCTCAAGAACTGTGAGGACCCATCAGAGATCCTGATGGGCCTGAATGAAAACATGACCCTCTTCTGCAAACTGCGGCAAAGAAAGAAACATTTTTAATAGGCCTACAGGGTGACTCAACCTGCATAGCATGCCTGTAATGTGTGAACTATAAAATAATAAAAGGGCACAGCATGGATTTAAAAGTGTAAGCAGAATAAAGGGTGAAGTGTTTGATGCCTTAATTTATTTCTTATGTTTGTTTGAAGGAACTTCGAGGGCTGCGTGCGCGCACCAGGCACGGAGAAATCGGAGGGGTTTTTAAAAAGATCGTATGTGAAGGTAAGTCGTGTTTTTTGTTTTTCCCTCGCTGTGGCTGGCTGATGGAAAGGGAGAGAGAGGCCCCCTCAATCTCTGCCCCTGCAGACATCCCAACCTTGTAGACAAACCTTGTATGCATTAATGCTGCCATTTCCTTTTCCTGTGTATTTTTCAATGGAAAACAACACTGCATACCAGTAGGTAGCGTAATGTACTACTTTTTTCAGATGTGCATCAGCAGTAGTCTTTTTTTTCTATGCACTCATTTTTCCAACATAAAAGTAAATTTTGGATATAAAAAGAGGAAAAAAATAAAGTTTTTTTTAATTGTTTGCATCCCAATAGTGTAATTTTCTGTTAAATTTTAAGTGATGAAATTAATTTAATTGTGCTGAAGGATGATCATTTGCATAAATTATGCTTGAAATTGTTGTCATAATAATTAGCCTTATTTTTAGTTGAACTGATACAATATAGTGTGATTTATTGCAGATTCAATTTAATTAATTGGTGCTGTAGTGCAGAACACAAATTATATAAGCTTTTCACCTTTACTGCGACAGTATTGATGGACTGGGTACTTCTATGCGAACAGAAGTAATTTGTTTACTGTTACATGGGCACTAGAATGGTCATCTGTACCCTGGTGTACCAGCGCCCTGAATACATTTAATTCTGGAAGAGTTGAAAGAACACATGAATATTTAATTGAAATTAAAGCAAACTAAAACTGGTGTTGGCGTTTCAGTGAAGAAAAAGGTAGTGACAGACTCTTTCTAGTGTTCAGAATGTTTTGAAATAATCAGGTTGACAACAATTGTTTGTTGTAATGATGCACATCTCATTTGCTTCTGTTTTTCCTTAATTTCAAACAGTGAAAACAAGTGGTATATCTGCTTTAGACGCCAAGTGAGTCTGCATTTATATACAGGTAGCTGCTTCACTTCAGCTTGGCCAGTGTGCAGGTTGTGAGAGGGGTTACTCTGGGGTTACTCTGCTTCTGTATTGGTAGTGAGGAGTTGGTTCATTAGTCTGAGAGGAGCTCAGAAGTGAATTAAATAAACAAAATACCAAAATGCAGTAACAAAGATCAAGGCGTGCCATAGAGAAATGCAGACTGGATTCTGCTGGAGATGTGGCTTAGCAATGTATTTATTTCCCATGTTAATCATCTGATAGTCACACACAACTCAATTTCACCATTAATGTCCCAGACCTCCTTGACAGGATAGTTTACTGTTTCATTCTTCTGTGTGAAGAAGTTCTTTTTTTTTTGTTTGTTTCTCTGCCTTTCTTTCCCATGAACTTGTTAGCGTTGGCTCTTCAGTACTCCTCGTGAGTTTCACCACAGCTGTGAGGGCTATTTTAGGAGTCTATGCAAAAGATATGATTGAGTGAAAGATCAGTCCCTGATGGTTACCACCACAGTGTAGGTGACTGGCTGCTTAAGAATGTATGGCATAACTGGAGCTGTGACTTCAGGCTTATTCATACATTGGTATGCACTGCCTCAGATAAACTTGTGTTGAATCTCATCATCTACTCAGCAGCCACAGATGGCGAATGTGAAGGCTGCTCCATGCCTTTCTTTAAAGCCCTATCTTTTCACTTGACTTTGATCCATCCTGGGGATGACTTCGTTTCTAAAATTACCGGTGGAGCGCGCTCTTTTAGTTCCAGTGCTCCCACGAGAAGAATGTAAAGATGAAATCCGTGAGACGTAGTGGGAGGCTGAGGGTTCTTTCCAGATCTGTTTCAGACCGCACTCTCACTTCCCTTTGAGTCAGATCTGTTCTCGTTGAGGTCATGGTGAAGCCCGTAACCATGTGCCATGTCTTCTTATAGAGGTTACAAATTGTTAGGAAAAGAGAGGCATACAGGTTCGCCATCCCTAAAGAAGAAGTCCACTGTGCCATCGAGAGATTTCCACCCATTCTGGATCTGACACAGGGGTCATGCACATACTGTAGATGTATCCACATGGCTTCGGGTACAGATATTCTTTTGTGTTCTTGCAATCACTTGCAGTATTGCATCCTGGTTACTGGCGCAGCCCCTACCTGCCGCGAGTATGGAAACCTCACGCTTGAAGGAAAAAACAGAGCCGTGTGGACACGTGAAAGGCTTGTCTCATTAATTATTGCAATTATTACTGTCCGCCTGCACTTTCTGTATTAGCTGACCTAAACTGGCTCAGAGTAGGGAATGAAGAAGACCCCCTCCTATCATTTTCAGGCGTGATGGAAGCTCTATCAATAGGGAGTTGAGGTTCATCTCCTCTCTGGTCTCCCGATGTGCAGTGTGTCAGTAGAAAAATGAACTGTGAAGATCCAGGATCAAAAGAGCAGGATTTGGCACTGTTAACCTTTTTAGCTGAGGAGATTCTGAGTTACATGTTGGTAGTGCACTCAGGGACTTTATTATAGAGCTGCATCATTATATCAGTAAGCTGCAGGTGTGAAGCATTACAGCTTTAGGTGTGCGCTAAAAATAATTTTATTGCAACTTTGTTTTTGATCTCCATTTTAAGAATAATTAACCACCCTTTGATCTTCTAAAAGCAATAACAAATATGCAGCTAAAGTTCTTATGTTAGCTGTGTTGTGTTTGTATACCTAATGAGAAGACAACTGGCAGGCGGTTCAGAGTAATTTAATCCCAAGAAAACTGCTCTTGACTGCATTTCGTATTTTACTGCAGCAAAATAAAACATTTGATTAGAATCAGGGACAGTTGGGAAAGGGGATCCAGTCAGATGCATTTAAAATGATATCCATTCAGCTCGTTACTACACATGTAGTAAATTGTGCTACAGGTAAAAGCAGCAATTGTGTAACTTGTTGAAGAAAATTGGATAGGTTTAGTGGAGTTCGCTGCTGCACACTAATAAAAACACATAATTAGTAGTCCTTTGTCATTATTTCTGTGTGCTGTAGTCTTACTGTGAGCTTGACTTTTTTTTGGCGAAGGTTGCATTAATTTATGTATGTTTATGGATTACTAAGACAACTTTGAAAATTCAACCCTCAGAGAAGACCTGTAGAGAATTTACTAAATGTACATCCACTAAACACTGAATTCCATCAGGGGAAGCCTGTTTCTTGCAATTTGGCAGTTCTTGGATGGCTGTACTCTATTGTTACAATGCCATTTGTATTAAGAAATCCTGGAGAAAAAAAAATACTGGGAGTGTCATCTGGAGATCTCCACACAAGAGAAAGTACCTCTGATCGCCTCTCAGGTCGTCTGGAGTTAAGTATCAAGTCAAGTTGTTACCTCCCTGCACCTGTCCCTTGTGGTTCCAGTTTTGACCGGCTTTGTCTTTATGTAAAGGTCTATGAAATTTAAAAAAGGAATTTGGTCTTGAATTGAGAATCGCTTGAAATGTTTTCTTTTTCTCTTTGCCTGCTAGAATAGCATTAGAATTGACATCTAAACATTTGCTGTTTAATAGCACCCAGATGTTCCTTGGCGAGAGGTATTCAGCAGTATAACAAGCAGAGGATCGTGGGTAAATTAAGTCAGTTGCATGAGGCTCAAGATCGAAGGTGTGTTTTACATCCACCCCCCCTTGTCTGCTTTACAATTCCTTCTCACACTAAAGTCTTGGTGGTCCCGTGGCAAAACATTTAATGCGTTTCTCAAATTGGTCCAGTTTTATTTCTTTAATTTTACGGACTATGTTTATGTTATGTACTATGTACTATAATTGAGATTCACATACAGCTCGGCTGAGAAATACAGTACTTCACAATTGCACAAAACACACTTTTAAGGGAACAAGACAGACAGCAATCGTTTCTGAGCTGCAGGAAGCTCCCATCTCGGAGCCAGAACCACAGGAGCACAACATACGAAATGGGAAATATATATATAGCATATCCATTGTTTGAAATGTAAGCACAGAAAATAGATTTAAAAATTATAGATTAAGATTGAGTGAACAATAACCTATTCATACAGGGGCTGACGTATGGTTTAGGAATTTATGGGAAAAAAGAACTGGGATTACATGTCGAGTTCCTAAAAAAGCTTCATTTCCAGCTGTTGCCGACACAAAATATCAGTTAATTTGACAGTGACGGGGAGTGACAGTCGTAATTTCTTTTTGCTTTGCCACTTTTAAGCTTGAAGTTGTATGGTTTGTGTCGTTATTAATATTAGCTTTAGAGTTTTTGATGAGTGCTTACCCATTTGGTCTGGCTTTGTTTTCAGCACAGCCATGATGAAAATAACAACCTCGAAACGAATACAGAATACCCGGGATTATTGACATATAACTTCACCATCACTGGCTGTGTGAGGATGCCCGTTCTTTTCAGGCACAAAATGTTGCACTTTGGTGTTCCTTTTTGCTAGCCCACCTGCCTTTTAGCAGTAATCATCTCCCCCTTTCCTTGTTTAAGGTTTTTTAATAGAGAAAGGCACAGAGGTATTTTTGGAACAGTGTCTACAGTGTATCGTAGAAAGAAAAAAGGCTACACTCTGCGTAGTGCTAGCTCTAATAAAATGTAAAAGAGGTTGTGATTCTGCCTTGTAAAATAAAAATAAGGATTAAAACGTTTTCATTTTTTTTTTTAAAATAAAGACACAACGGCCTTTTGTGAAGCCTGCTCAGATGACCTTTTCTACAGAGTGAACTCTGCAACCCCTGCTCTTCTATTTCTGTTCGGAAATCACAGCAGTTCAGTCTACTAAACGGCAGCGACAAGACCAATTTAAAAAAAATAAAAACGAAGGAGGCACAGCAGCATCTTCTTCCTTCTGATTTTTGATCAGTCTGCTGGTCTTGTTTCCTGGCAGGTCATAAATCTCAATTATTTTTGCATGCTCATGGTCCACTTTATTGTTGATGTCACTGTGGTGTAATTTTTCTGTACAATTCACTCAGAATCTGTGAAGGTTAAAATGTTTTACGTCCAGTAGATTCCCTTTTCACAGTACTTCATGGACTGTAGGAAGCCGGACTTTGTGTGAGAGTGTCAGTCTTGCAACAGGCCGACTGATAAACTTTATGTTTT